CGCCAATTTGGGCCACCTTTGCGGACTGCTGGTCCTCAAGCGACATGTTGTTAACATCGCGGCAGGATCAGGCGTTAGCAGAGACGGTCCAAAATAGCGAACTAGTTCTTCTTCCACGTCAGGCAAACCCCTCATTCTGCTTGCAGGAGAAAGCTCTTTCAATTGTGCTGCCTATAACAGCGAGAAATTATTCCACGCCGCTCAAATTCTTTTTTTCTTTTCAGGGCGGTGTCGGCATGTACCAACCGCCTCCACCTGGTGGCAATTCACCCATGATGCAACCGATGAATATGCCACCACGAGGTGGTGCCCCACCACCTATGATGATGGGTCAACAACGAGGCCCTGTAGGCCCTATGGGAGGCCCATCCACCCGGATGGGTCCACCTCCGGATCGGCACGGGTTTGACGATTACGACGATGTTGATATGAGTCACGGTTACGATCGTGGCACTTATCGTTATTAGCAAATTTTTGAAAATAGTTATTATAAGAGATATATGCAAATGCATTTTTTGATTTTTTTAAAATATGTTTAGCTCTATATTGTATTTGATGGCCACAACTGGTGCTAGAAACGCTGGGACACTCATCGTTTCTGAAGAAATAGGCACCACTAGCACGAAATGCTTGATACGCTAAAAACTTTATCAGAATTCTAAGTCATATTTCTCCTTCGAAAACGCAGCCCATAACGATGCGCAAGCAACCTTTCAAAAGCGGTGTTGGAAAAAATTCTTGCTCACTAGAAGTACAAAACAAACGCACATTTTCCAAAAACCAGCTGACAGTTAAAATTAAATGCTGCATTATTTTTGAAAACCCATAAATTAAGCACGTGAGTCTATAACGTAGTCACGCATATCCGCACTACGTCTAGAGTTCCGCCACCAGTGCCGTGCTAGCGCCGTGCCGGCGTCCACGTGGCCGCGGCTCGTATTGATCGATTGACGACACGTGCACGACTATAGCTCGGCACTGACAGACCAACTCTAAACGCCGCCTCTCGTTCAGAGCGTTGTTTTTGTTGTCACCCACTAGCCTTTTTACACTTCCAGAGAATGGTGCTATGGCACCAGCTGCATGAAAAGCTATATTGTCCTGAGGCGATTTTGATAATGTGGTCAATTAGGCTATAAAAATTAAATTGATAAGCGCCACAAGTCGGTGAAGCACTCCCGTTTATTGATTGATTTCTTATCGAATAATACGTTCTCGTCAATCTCTACCTTTGTGCCAATATTCAGAGATGTCTATATGTATATTCTTTATAAGAAAAGCTATTTTCCCCCTACTACATGTGATATATGTACTAATTTGCACACTTTATTTTGTCAATGCATATCTCGATAAAGGTTTGATAATTTAAGTAAAACAAAAACACAGTGGAAAAACAAAGCTGACATGCCCAGCAACTGGGAACGACATGTCTCGGGCAGGAACTTTCAGAAAACGTTCCCTAAAACATTAACGATCGGAGTTAGGAACATACAATATAAAAACCACATCTTGTTGCTATAATGAATGGTAGGACAGGATAAAAGACAACTACGAGCAAGAGAAGATGACTGTTTAAAAACCCGATACAGACCGATTGTTTCATGTCATACTAATGAATAGTGGACGAAAATTACACTGCTCTATATTTGATGAATCGAAAGTCGGCATAAACTACAATTCAGCTGAATCTTGAAATCGCGCAAATAGAAAGAGAAGAGATTAGAACATCAGTGATACAAACAAGTGTGCTCAAAGTAGTCATCGAATAATGAACATGAGAACGTGTACATAGGATTT